CCCAGGCTAGCCTTGTCTCTAATCTGTGATACTCCTACCTCAGCCTCTGAGTGCTAACTGTGCCACTATGCCCAGTAAGGCTGAGGACAATGTATGTAAATAACACATATATATGTATATTGCACATGTGTGCATGTTCATGTACATGGAGGCCAGAGACCAACCTTGAATGTTGTTTCTCAGGCATCACCCAACTTATCTTTTGTTTTGGGACAGGGTCTCTCATTGGTTACACTGTCTGGTCAGCAATCTTCCTGTCTCTGCCTCCTCAGCCCTGAGATTACAGACCCATGCTACTGCAGTCAGCCTCTTTAGACGTATTCTGTGAATTGAATCAGGTCCTCATGGCCAGCACTTTACCAACTGAGTCATCTCTCCAAAACTAGGCTGTGGGTTAATGTGCTTTCTTTATGCCTATATCTCTGTTTTCCTTTATGTTTTGTATTTTCCGTTTGTGGGTTGCAGCCTCACTCTCCCAAGAGTGAAAGGATGAGTTGGGAGGAGCTGTGGGAACCCACCTGAGGACATGCCAACACTTACTGGACAGCTCACATGTATCACGCACTGGTCTGTATCTGGCTGCTTTAGGTCAACCAACTTATGGAATTCTGACCACCCCCGTGAGGCGGATCCTCTCATTATCCCTATTGTCAGATGGGAGAGCAGGAACATCACTTTTTTTTTTAAGATTTTTATTTATTTATAATGAATACAACATCCTGCCTCCATGTACGTCTGCACATCAGAAGAGGGCACCAGATATCTTTACAGATGGTTGTGAGCCACCATGTGGTTGCTGGGAATTGAACTCAGGACCTCTGAAAGAGCAGTCAGTGCTCTTAACCTCTGAGCCATCTCGCCAGCCCCAGGAACATTACTTATTCAGGGTTATATGGCATATGAAGGCAGAGTCCAGATTCAGCTTTGTGGCTTCAGTCTTCCACTCTCTACCACACTGACTGCATAAACATTATGTAACAGACTGACCATCATCTTCATGTGATGACACATTTCTCTAGTCACAGCACTCAGCAGGCAGAGGCCGGAGGATCTCTGTGAATCTGAGGCCAACCTAGACACATAGTGAATTCAGGACATCCAGGAGCTTCATAGATATATCCTGTTTCCAAAAACCCAAAATAATAAATAAATAAATAATCCCCCCAAACAAAACTATCAAGTAGTAACTCTTATAATAGAAAATTTGAAACATATGTAAATGTACTACAAAAAGCAGGGCAATGGGCTTACATAGCTGGCTTGTTGTTGTTACTAATGTTTTTTTCAAGATTTATTTATTTATTATATATACAATGTTTTGCCTGCATGTACATCTGCACACCAGAAGAGATCATCAGATTTCATTATAGATGGTTGTGAGCCATCATGTGGTTGCTGGGACTTGAACTCAGGCCCTCTGGAAGAGCAGTCTGTGCTCTCAACCTCTGAGTCATCTCTCGAGTCTGACTAATGTTTTGAGGCAGTGTCTCACTATGTAGTCCAGGCTAACCACAAATTCGAAATCCTCCTGTTTTAGTTTTCTGAGTGTTGGGACTATAGATGTGTGTAATCACATTCAGCCATATGTTTTCTAATTTTTATGAGACAAAGTCTTAAATGTAACCTGAGCTGACCTGAGACTTGTGACAACCTTCCCACTGCAGTCTGAGTGCTGAGATTGTAGGCATCAACCTCCATAACCACCTCCAAGTGACACTTAAGAGTTGACAATGCCAGAGCCAGGTGTGGTAGGGCCCACTTGCAATCCCAGTACTCAGGAGGACTATGCAGTACCCAAGAAACAAGGGGGACAGGGCAGGGGTAGGAGGAAAGACACAGAGAATTTGCAATACCATGAAGGACCTGTTTAAGAAGATGATAAAAGCCGGGCGTTGGTGGCGCACGCCTTTAATCCCAGCACTCGGGAGGCAGAGGCAGGCGGATCTCTGTGAGTTCGAGGCCAGCCTGGTCTACAAAGTGAGTTCCAGGACAGCCTCCAAAGTTACAGAGAAACCCTGTCTCGAAAAACCAAAAATAAAAAAAAATAAAAATAAAAAAGAAGATGATAAAACAGTTTATCAAACTGAGCTTATAAGTATGCAAATGACACCCCCCCCCAAAAAAACCTTCAAGGAATGAAAATAATATCCCATTAAGGGTTGTCTCTTAATGGGAGCATCTACAGTTCATCTAAAGATTCCTTTTTGCATTTTCTCCATTCTCTGCAATATGTCTGCACTACTTTAAAATTATCTTAAAGCTGAAACAAAAGATAAATATCCAGCGAGTGGATGGTTGCTACACCAGGTACCCTTGAAGGACTCATCCCTTCTCTCAATATCTTCACTCGCAGCAGGAACAATGATGGGGCTGGGAGGTGACCTCTACCTCTGTCCTGCCTCAGTGGGAGAATTATATTAATGAGGTCATATTTCTAAAGGATAATGCTCTCCTTACGGCCCTAGTGATCCTCATTGGGAAAAAATAAAGAAGACAAAAAAGAAAGCAGTGGGGAGGAAGCAGAGTAGGAAACATAATGGCAGGAGAAAGGGAGGAGGCAGATGAGCTGGTGGGGAGAGGTGGGGAGGAAGTGAGCCTCCAGAAGGGTCAGGGAGCCTGCAGAACAGAGAGTAAGGGAGTGATGAGGCAAGATGAAGAGAGGGGGAGGGGAGGGTCGGAGAGAGGGGAGAGAAGGGAGAGAGGGGAGAGAGGGAGAGAGGGAGAGAGACAGAGAGACAGAGAGGGAGAGAGGGAGAGAGACAGAGAGGGAGAGAGGGAGAGAGAGAGAGAGAGAGGGAGAGAGACAGAGAGAGAGAGAGAGAGAGAGAGAGAGAGAGAGAGAGAGAGAGAGAGAGAGAGAGAGAGAGAGAGAGAGAGAGAGAGAAGAGCAAACTGGTAAGAGATTTAATTTTTTTCATCTGCCACGGTTCTGGCTAAGCCTCAGTGCATTGCCCCAATATTACAGAAACCGTTTACCGTTCTTCTGCAGTTAAATGTTGCTTCCATTTAGGGAAAGCCTTTCCCAGGACTTGCAACTCCAGTCTTTTTCCCAGCAGCCTGGCCTCCCTTGCCAGCCTTCACTGTTCCAGCCAAGGCCCTTTCTGGACTGCAGCCACTGCAGTTTGCCAGGGACAACCAGACCTATGCTCACTGCAGTCCCACCAGCCCAAACTGGGAGCTTTGGTACCGATGGACATGAGTCAGGACAGCTGATGCCCAGCTGTCCCCGACCACAGTACACAAAGAAAGCTAAAAGCTCCCAGGCTTGAAACAAAAACACTGAAAAGATGTCACGGAATAATGTGGGATCTTCAAGACTCATTTTTTGTTTGTCTTTTTGAGACAGGGTTTCTCTGTGTAGCCCTGGCTGTCCTGGAACTCACTCTGTAGACCAGGCTGGCCTTGAACTCAGAGATCTGCCTGCCTCTGCCTCCTGAGCGCTGGGACTAAAGGTGTGCTCCGCTCTTGCCCACCTTTCATTTTTGAAGTCAACTGCAAAATGAAAAATGAGAATCAGAGACAAGAGACTTGGCCACGGCCAATATTCGGGTAAGTGCACCTGGCTTAGGAGGTCTCACTAAGCTCATGAGGAGGATCCCTTAGGAGTGTTTGTGTCTTCAGGGGCTTGTGTGGTGGTACTCACCCTGCTTCCATTCTTAGGGGGTGCACAGGCAGAGGTAACCCACAGATAAGCTCTGTTTTTAATGAAAGCATTTATTTACCTTTATGTGGGTGTATGAGGTGTTTGTGTATGCTCACACCGAGTTGTGTATGTAGTCACGTGTGTAGAGGTCAGAGGACAACTTTGGGGAGTTGGTCTGCCCTTTCCACTTCGAGTTTTGAGGATTGGACTGAAATCACTGGGTTTTCATGACAAGTGCTTTCACCAGCTGAGTCTTCTTGCGGGCCCTCTGTTTGAGAAACTGCAAAGCAACACCTCACCCAAGCATCCCTGACCTGACATTTGCTGGTTCTGGGGCTCAGACTATGTCTTGTCAAGAACACGGACAAGGGCCTTTCTTGCTCAGCCACATCCATTGTGGAAAATTACAGCCACAAGGACCCAAGAGCAATTTCAAAGTCTGCATTTTGCTGGATCTTTCAGCCAAGTGTCCCTGCGGCAACACAGCAAACATTTGGGGCGTACAGAGCGAGTGTGCCTAGGTTTCCCCTCCCAAGCTGCTTTTCACACAGGTCACCTGCACTGCTTTTACTCTTAAGGGGAAGGCTCTCAGCCCTTCTTCATGGGTAGTCACTGATTGGGCACACAGGGGACAGGGCAGGAGACACAAGTCAGGGCCCTGGTCACCAGAGGAAGGAGTGTTTTATCTGTGGGTCAAAGCACAGTGCACACACACACACACACAAGGTTGAGACAAATCCGGGTCTCCTCGCAGTGTCCTGCCTTTGGATTGTGGATGCTCTCCTTCACAGCCCCTGCTCCAGCCACGTGCCTGTCCTCAAATCTTAGCTCAGGGTCTTCTTCCTCAGCCTGGATCCTGGAGGCCTGTATTTCTATACCACAGCACTCAGTACATAGAACTTTTACATCTGACTTCCCACAATTGCCTGGGCACTTGGTAGAAGAATTGGGCTATATCCCCAGTACCTTGCAGATGTCTGATGTAAGCAGATACTTCACAGACGCTTGTTGAGTAGGAAAATACCATATACTGTGCTTCTACTGCCTAAAACACATAAGCTTTAAGTCATTTCATAGCATTCATTCATTTTTTTTTCTAAATTTTAGACAGGACCTTGTATATCCCAGTCTAGCCTAAAATCAGGTGTGGAGATAGATGTCTTTAATCCCAGAATTTGGGAGGCAGAGGCAGGTAGGTCTCTGTGGGTTCAAGGACAGCCTGGTCTACATAGCAAGTTCCAAGGAAAGCTAGGGCTATATAGAGTTCGAGGCCAGGCTGGACCGACAGCCTCCAAAACAATACAGAGAAACCCTGTCTCGTAAAACCAAAAAAAGAAAAAGGAAAAGAAAAGGCTCAATCTCCTTCTTTTTTATTTTGTTTTGCTGTCCCTTCCCATCCTGTGGAAGGCTCAGTCTCTTTGAGGATAGGCATGACTTCACTTGGCTTTGCTGTGCCTTTCTCTTCTCCTCCAGGACCCACTCATGACCTGAGCATGTCTCTTTTTAAAATGACTAGAGCAGACAGGAGTCCATTGGGAATGTCCTGCCCACTCATAACATATCTTATCCATTTACCTGGTTGCTGGGCAGGCGAGGCTGGGAAAATTTAGTGGCTAGGCAACATACAACACTCAGGAAAGGAAATTAGCCGGGAGTATTTGCAGATTAAAGTGGCAAGGAAACTTGATGGAAACAAACATTCAAAGTACCTGCCAGGCTTTTAATAATGTCAAAGGAGAAGAGCCTGGAACCAGCTGGTGGAAAAAGATAAGAAACACATTTATTTCCTCTACTCAGGCCACATTAACTGTCCCCCACCCCCACCCTAAACCTTGTGTTTTACTATTAGAAAACAATCGGTTGCATTTCCCAGGCAAGCTTCCTTGTGTAAGAGTCTCTATAGGTAGGAAAAATAGTCCGACGCATTAGTGAATTCCTTTGGCAGCTTCCCAGAGGCTGTGTTGCTGTCCGTGGTGCTGATGTCCTGATAGGGCCTCCAGGCCTCTCTGAGTCTTAGGCTCATCTGTGCCCACACAGAACGCTGTGAAAAATGATAGGAAAAAGCTGAGCTGGGGACAGCAGAAGCCTGAAATCCTCTGGAAACACGGGCTTCTGGTCTCTCAACTAAAACCCCTGGGGTCGGATACTTTACAGAATTTTTCAAATTTTAACAAGGTGTTACGGTATATTGCATACAATCCTTGGTGAGGTCTGGGGAAGTACCATACTATCAAGCAGGTCAATATTTCTCCAGGAAAATGTATGAGCAGTCTCTCTGGTGTAATCAATAAACATGCTAAATATCCTTACGGCTGCGTAGGTCAAGGTCTTCCTCTAAGTAAGCTTACCTTAGACTGGAGGGAACCTCATCATCTAGACCTCCCCCTCTCTTGCTCCCCTTCCCTTTCCTATCCCTTCCAGTTGTCTCCTTCCCTCTCCCTCCTTTCTCTATCCCTTCCCTTTTCCTCCCCCTCCCCCCTTTCTCCCATTCCTCCTTCCTCTCCTCTCCCTCTCCCACTCATGCTAATACTAAACCTAAGACTTCAAGCATGCTGGTCAAGCACACTCCACTACTGGGATACATCCTAAACTCTGGATTTCAGAATCCTGTTTAAGAGTCTGTGGGTTGGACTGAAGAAATGGCTCAGCACTGACTGGCAGGTGGTGGTAGCCCAGGTCTTTAATCCCAGTACCCAGGAGGCAGAGACAGGCAGATCTCTGTGTATTCAAGGATAGTGTGGTCTACAGAGTTAGTTCCAGGACAGGCTCTAAAGCTACACAGAGAAACCCTGTTTCAAACAACAAATGATCAATCAACAGCAACAAAAGAGCACTGGCTGTTTTCCAGAGGTCCTGAGTTCAATTCCCAGCACCACAAGGTGGCTCACAACTGTAAACATCACATCAACTGCTCTTCTGGTGTCTGTGAAGACAGGCCACTCATACACATAAAATAAATTGTAAATATTAAAAAACAGAGTCTCCAGGTCCACAGTAGTTCTAAGCTTAAACTGGGTCAAGATGACCTGTAAAACTTCCCATAGCTGATCAAACTTTCTAAATTTGTATGAAGCAAAACAAACCCTCTCTGAAAAGCAAAAATAACTTTTTAAGTTTGTTTTTTGAGATAGGATGTTCAGCCTGAGCTGGTCTCAGATTCCTTGTGTAGATGAAGATGAGACTGATCAGATGATCTTGAGTTTCTGATCCTCCTGAGTCCTGGGATTATAGATGTGTGCACCATATCCAGTTTATATGGTGCTGGAGATAAAACCCAGGGCTTTCTGCATTTCAAGCAAGACCTACCATCCACTCCATATCCCTAGTCCCAATGCTTTCTTTTCTCTTTATGTTTTTTGAGAGATGGCTTCTCTTTGTAGTCCTAGCTGTCCTGGAACTCACTCTGTAGACCAGGCTGACCTTGAACTCATGGAGTTCCATATACCTCTGCCTCCCAAGGGCTGGGACTAAAAGTATATGCTAACACAACAAGGCCCAAACAACAACTTTCTCAGCTAGGAGTTGGAGGCAGTGGATGGGTGAGATGAACTAAACCAAGTGAAAACAGTTTGGACCATCTAGTCCTCAAGATGCCCTGCCCCCAACACACACTTCAAGTGGTACAGCATAATTTCCCATAAGACAGATAGTAGCTGGAGATCCTGGAAGCTTCACACGTGGTGCACAGATTGAGAGAGAAAAGGGCAACAATCCTCCCTTCTACCTAGAAGCCTAACTGCCCCTCGTCTCTGGGTAAGCTCGAGCCTCTCATCCCACAATCATGAGCACAGCTGAAATCATTGGGATGGGGAAAGGGTGTTTTCTTCTGAGTGCACAAAGTCATACTGGCTGGACAGCACCTGCGGCGCTCTGTAAGAAGCGGATGACTCCCCCTTTCCTTACACTGCCCCATTGGGTGGTGTTGGTCCCTTTCATATCTGAGGAGCTGAGCGCCAGAGAGGGTAAAAGAAGATGGTTAGTGGTGGAAGCGGGGAATGGAACCCTGACTGAACAGCCTCACCCTTCCCCTGCCTTGTCTTCCTCACACGGGCACCGAGTTGAATACGGATGGAGGACCCAGTCGCTGCTTAATCTCGGGCAGTCAGTTTTGTACACAGTGGCTTTAGAGTTATCCACACTATAAACTCATAATGTTTTTACTTTGGTGGGGTGTCTTCAGGCTTTAAAACCTCATACTGGCTCAGAGCTAGATGTGGTAATGCACATGTGTAATGCCAACACTTGATAGGGCTGGCGATGTAGCTCACTTCGTAGAGTGCTGGCCTAGCATGCACCAGGTCCCAGGTTTGATCCCCAGCACATGCTGACCATGGTGACACGCACTTGCAATTCCAGCCCTGAGGAGGCGCAGGCAGGAGGGTCAGAGAGGATCAGTAACACACCCAGTTAAGAAGCAGCTGGGTCAGTCACTACATTCTTACTCCCAGCACTTGGGAGGCAGAGACAGGCAAATCTCTGTGAGTTCGAAGGCCAGTCTGGTCTACAGAGAGAGTTCTAGGACAGCCAGGGCTACACAGAGAAACCTTGTCTCGGCGGAGTGTCCAGGGAAGCAGCTGAGACAACTTTCCTTTCTGATTCCTGAGCCATGGCTACACAGCAAGTTCAAGACCAGCCTGGGCTTTATAAGATCCTGCCTGAAAATGCAGGAAGAGCAGGAGGGGGAGGGAGAGAAAAAGTACTAAGTGTTTTAGCAGCAGCCAGATGTACGATCTTGGTGGTTTCTCAAGTTAAATGCGTGGGGGTGGGAGTGTAGCTCGGCACTGAGCATCCTTAAGGTCCCAGTTAGCAACCCAGCATTGGAGAAATGAAATAGTGCTTTGGGTCCGTTCATCTGCACATAGTTGTCAAGTGCTCCCTGTGAGTCAGGCACTGTGCTAGGCGCTGGGATGCATTATGAGGGAAACTATCTTAGAGGTTGATGAGGAGCAGGAAAAAAACCCAAACAGCTGAATTAAATAATCACACTAACAAATGAAAGTGCGGCTGGTAAGTGCTACTAATAATGACAGTAAGGTGTCGTCAGAGCCAGAATCTGTAACAGAGAGGTTCCGAGGCCATTTCAGGTCACACTTACACTGAGGACTACAGAGGGTGGGGAGGACAGCTCAGCAGCTAAGGCATCCAGCGTCAACTCTGAGGACCTGAGTTCAATCCCTGGGACCCATGTGGTGGAGGAAGAGGACAGATTACACCTTCAAGTTGTCCTCTGAGGGCCACATGGGTACTAAGGCCTGTGTGCACACTCCCATGCATGGTACACACAATTAAAAAAAGGAAAAGACAAAAAGGGCAAAGACAGCAAGCCAAGAGTCATGGTGCATGCCTTTAATCTCAACACGTGGGAGACTGAGGCTGGAGGGCATGAAGTTTATGCAAACTCATGCTCTATATTCAGAATATGTCTCAATCAAGAGGCAAAACAAGGATGTGTGAGGGGGCCTCACCAAATGAGAAGCGCAAAAGTCCTGTCACGGAGGAGAAGCCCAGTGGGCAGACGGAAAGGAAGTTGAAGCAAGCGAGGGGCTGAGTGCTGGGTGGGGCAAGCAAGAGCCAGGCCATGTTTTGTTTTGATCCTCAAGCCACTGGAGAACCACGCAAGTTCAATACGCAGAGGTCTGGTGTGGTCCGATTCACCCTTACATCTCTGATAGGTTAGGGGAGGAGTTAACTGACTTTAGGTACATCAGCTAGGAGGCTGCTCCTGTAGCCCAGACAGTACCAATATGGCAGCCCAGGATGGAGTGGGAACGGAGGGAGTTGGAGGGAGGCAGCTTCCAGAGAGAAAGGGGATAGGAGTTGGTAGTAGGTTCGACAGGGCAGAGTGGAGGATAAGGAGAGCAGAGTATCAGACAGGCACAGATTTCTGGTTTTGTCACCAACAATGAGAGAGGCCAGCACTCCCTGATGCCACCTGCCGCTGCCTGAGCTCTTTTCTGAGAATTCTTGATTTCACTACAGAAACAGATTTCAGGATGGGTTAGTAGGAAGCAGTTTTGGAGTCTATTGAGAAAAGATTTGAAGGTTGGAAAGGTGGTTCAGTGGCTAAAAGCACTGGCTGCTCTTCCAGACCAGAGACCCAGGTTCAGTTTCCAGCCCTCCCATGGCAGCTCATAACCAGCTGTAACTCCAGTTTCAGGAATCTGATGCCTCTTTCTAGCCTCTGTGGGCACCAGGCATGCGTGTGGTATACTGACAGATATGCAGGCAAAACACTAATAATGCATACAATAATAATTTTAAAAGACAGGCTGGGGATGATGGTTCAACAGGTAAAACACTTGCAACCACGAGAAAGAGAGTAACAGCTTTGGCTGTCCTGGAACTCACTCTGTAGTCCAGGCTGGCCTTGAACAATCTCCCTGCCTCTGCCCCCCCCCGAGTGCTGGGGGATTAAAGGCATGAGCTACCACAGCCTAGATGCATTTAGGGAGAAGACAGTAATGACCAAGTATGAGCATGGGCTACTGGAGAAAAATCATCTTATGAGTCTTAGAAGTCGCCATTTATAGTTTTGGTGGCTTCAAAGTTAAATGCAGACGGTTGCTAAGGAACTTTTCTTTCTTCTTGGGTAAATTTGATAACAGGATGTTCCCTCAGGTGCCCTGAACAACGTTCCAGTCAGATAAATGTAAGACATACAGTTTACAGAGGCACCAGGGGGCTCTAAGGCTTGCCTTTTACTGTAAATAGTCTATAGTCTTCCTTATGCAGTTCCTAGAGAATTGCAGGTTTATAGCTGGCAAAACAGAAAGGACATCCTGGGTCGTATACGCTTAGGCCTTCAGCATGGGTCATTGCTACTTTAACATGCTTCTCTATTAAAGGTATATTGTCTCAACATAGACAAACTTAGTAGCTAAGTTCAATTGTGCTGGAACTCTTGACTCTTAACGAGACTCAAGGTAAGGGGCTTTTCTTTCTCATGCCGCCCTAATTCTCCTTGTCTTCCTATCCTGCCTCAGTTTGAGTAAATGGGTGGCAGACAGTGCCATTTGTGAGGAGGACTCCCAGAAAAGCAGTGGGTATGAGGGATGTGCCTGAGTGACTGGACCTGTTGGCAAGTGGTGACTTGGAGCTTCACAAATCGATTGTGTAATACGCAGCTGGGTCTCACATAGGAATACAAACTTGGGGGGCAACTAGCAGAGACAGGCAGCAGAGCTGTGCATATGAATCAAGATCTGGGAGTAGGTATTGTTAGAGAGGAGAGAGCCCAGCCTCAGGGACCCCGGGATGCAACTGTTGGGTTAAAAGACCGGAAAGGAAATGGAGGCAGCATTCAGCCAAAGATCACATCGTGGGCACAGATGTGAGGGAAGAGAGATTCATGAAGAGGAGTGCTCAGGTATGGAAATAGGATGTAAGGTCCAGGGGGAAAAGAGGACCAGGGGCCGAGGGGCGGCTCAGAGGTTTAAAGCATTTGCTGATCTTGTAGATGATCTGAACCCAGGCCTCATCCCTGCCTTTGCAAGAGTGCGCATATGCTCACACACACACAGGCGGTCAAAAGGTGCACATTGCATTTAGCAACACAGTAACTGGTGACCACAGGGAGCACTGCATCTGTGGAGTGATGGAAAGAGCAAGATGACCCAGTGGTTAGATGTGGATGTCTAGGGTAGGATGCAGAGGGGTGTAGCTTAGTGGCAGAGGGCTTGCTGAGCATGTACTGGGTCTTGGGTTTAATCTCCAGTACTGCCAACAAAAATGCTTAGGACAACATGTCTCCCAGAATAAACTGGACTGAGGGTGTTTGCCAGAGACCCAGTCACCTGATACTGGTGTTGTCACTAACATGACAGGGACTTACAGAGGAAGTAGACGCTACCACCTGTAGGTCTCAGATGGTCCCAGCATGGCACAAGGCACAAGGTGAATCTAACTCTGTGGAGGAGGGTGGAGTGAAGGAGGAGGGACTCTGGTCTGCGCCTCCGAGGCCTGTGCTGTTCAGTGTCAAGGGACACATTCAGAGTCTTCATTCACTGCCACGGGGCCAGTATCACCTAGAGCCCTTCCGATAAACAGAGCAACAAAGTGGTATTTGTGAGACAGAATTTGCTTTATACATTCAATTTTTATACTATTTTTTGATAAAAGCGGTCATTGGGAAAAGTGACGCTATACCGATGTCCCTCGGTATTGGTTCCTCTGACTCTGGAAGAAAAGAATCACCCAGACCTCATTCAGATAAGTATTTGCAAGTAAAAGGTTTTACTTCAAAATCTGAGATTCTTTTTTTTTTTTTTTCCTGGTTCCTCTTTTTTTTTTTTTTTTTGGTTTTTCGAGACAGGGTTTCTCTGTATTGTTTTGGAGGCTGTCCTGGAACTCACTCTGTAGACCAGGCTGGCCTCGAACTCACAGAGATCCGCCTGCCTCTGCCTCCCGAGTGCTGGGATTAAAGGCGTGCGCCACCAACGCCCGGCAAAATCTGAGATTCTTAAATTTTATTTATGTCTCTAAGTAGTGTGTCTGTGGAAGCCAGAGGACACCTGTGGGAATGGGTTCGCTCCTTTCACCGCCAGAGTCCTGGGGATTGAGCTCAGGCGTAGCGCCGCACCTTGCCTGGATGAGCCACTGAGCCAGCCCAGTACTCTTTTTCTGTAATGTGAAAGCGAGGCTCAGAGGGATTAGGCAGACCTCTATTTTTGGAAACATTAACGTCTGCTGTGAAAGTTGACAGAATCAAAGTGGTGTCATTTGTGTCGAATCTGAAGAAAAACAAAACCAAAAATCCAAAGAAGCACAGCCTGGGGGTTAAGGAGGGAGGCCCCCTGTGCACGCGCCTGTGAGAACTATTATAAAGACTCTCTGAAGGGCTCGAACCCCTGTGCCTGGATCAGGAACTTTCGTCAAGGACTTTCCAAATTGCAGCTTGCTGCATGAGTCACAAGGATGGCTATCCGGAAGCAAGAGAACACTCGTGCCTGACACACTGTCTTCACTAATGAACTGATGTCAACTACCGAGATAAGACCTTGTGACTAATTCTCTCTTTGTTGCTAAGGTTCTCTTTTGTGTCTATTTACTTTTTTTTTAACCTGGGGATCAAATCACTGTCTTGTGTGCTCAGCACATGTTCTGCTACGAGCAGCCCCGCCTTCTTTTGTGAAAATCTGTTATCTAGGTTGGTGCTAAGACAGGAGTAACCCTTCACCACATTTTCACTGGAAAAGCTGGTTTAGGCATGGCGGTCCACGCCTGTGATCTCAGCATCTGTGAGGAGGGTTGCTGTTTGGAGTTCAAGGTCTAATTAAAATCTAATTAAATAATCAGCAAAAATTTATCAACCTAATACCATAACCTTAGAGTAGCAAGTATACAATCACAAGTCCACTATTGTAGTGGCTGATTTGAACACTTCTTTCAGTGATTGATAGACTAAGTAGACAAAAAGAAAGAGAGAAAGAAAAGAAGGAAGGAAGGGAGAGAGGGAGGGAGGGAGGAAGGAAGAAATATAGAAAAAGAAAAAGTGGGAAAGCAGAGATGATTTGGAAAACACAAGTAACACGTTCCATGCAAAAGTAGCGTCCTGGTGAGTTTGTACTAACTTGCCACAACCTAGAGTTACCTGGAAGGAGGGAACCTCAACGGTAGAACTACCTCAGTCACACTGGCCTGTGGGAATGTCTGTGTGCATTGTCTTGACTACTAATTGATGTGGGAGGGTTCAGCCCAGCCCAGCCCCCTGGAGAGATGTTTCAGCATTTGCTAGCCCTGATTCGTGTGTGGAGTCCCTTGTTCAATCCCAGCACCCACATGATGGCTCACAATCACCTGTAACTCTAGCTCCAGGGGATACGATACACTTTAAGTTTATTTTTACTTCATGTGCACTGGTGTTTTTCCTGCATGTATATCTGTGTAAGAGCGTCAGATCCCCTAGAACTGGAGTAACTGACAGCTTTGAGCTGCCATGTGGGTGCTGGGAATCGAACCCTGGTCAGTGTAACAGTCCTGGCTGGCCTCCAGCTCACAGAGATCCAACTGCCTTTGCCTCCCAAGTGCTGGGATTAAAGGCATGCACCACCACCGCCCCGGCTTGCAGCACATGCCTTTAACTGCTGAGTCATACCTCTGGACCCTAGTGTTACCCATTGACTGAAAATTACCTTTTTATCTTGAAAAAGTTGAAACCCCTGTGTTGGTTAGGGTTTCTATTGCTGCAACAAAACACCATGACCACAGAGTAGAAGGAGAAAATTTCCACAGATTGTCCTCTGGCTTCCATATGTACTCCACAACACATGCAGCCACATGCCTCTATACACAGAGATACACACGATAAACAAACACACAAGTAAATAAACATAATAAAAATTAAAATTATTTAAAATTTTTTTATCGAGATGTCTCTGCTGAGATTACAAGCCTATGCTATCAGGCTTGACAATGTTGTTATTCTCAGACAGGGTCTCCCCTGTGTATCAGAGGCTGATGTTGAACTTTCTGTGTTTCCCAGACTACCCTCAAACTCAGGATCCTCCTGCCTCTGCCTCTCTAGTGCTCATTTGATAATTTGACCCTATGTGGACACCCACAGAAACAGCTCCACTCCGTCTTGATTTTTCTGGGACAGAGTTCAAACCTGTTCTTACTTGTCAGGTTGAGCAACAGGATGTTTGGCCTAGGGTATGACTATTGCCTGAAGAACAGAATAGGGCCAGGTGGTGGTGGTGCACACCTTTAGTCCCAAGCACTCGGGAAGCAAAGGCACGAGGATCTCTTAGTTTGAGGCCAGCTTGGTCTACAGAGTGAGTTCCAGGACGTGCTCCAAAGCTACAGAGAAACCCTGCCTCAAAAAACCAGACAAAAAATATCAAGGTGAATGGCACCCAATAAACAACAGGTGAGGTGAACCTCTGGGCTCTACACTCATGAGCACATCTACACACAGAAGAAGATCCCAGGGCCCTGCCCTCCTCAGCCTGACCAGATTCTCTCCCTTCCTCTGCCTTGCTCATTCTTCAGTGGAAGCTCTGAGCTCCCTCCCAGAACCCTTTCCTCTGGCTATGCTATTCTCCCTCCAGTCTGCTGCTGAATAGAACCCTCTGAGGACCTGTTCTTTCTGAAAAACATTGTGACAATGGGACTCCTCTCAGCAGAGCCTCGGGGACTGCTCCCCACAAGCACATCTCCCGCTGGGGCTCTGTTCATCATGTAGGGTCATGGCCTGTAGACTGCAACACGTGTGTGTGTGTGTGTGTGTGTGTGTGTGTGTGTGTGCAGCCTTACACCCTACAATGCAGGTGATGTTCCTCTCTTTCCCCTCTACACGTTGAGAAAATCCCTAATGATCAGAATGCAGCAACAACCATGGAGACAAAGAATTGCTCAGTGACATTTTTCCGGTATTTTGGAATTTCCTATTAAAACGGCTGCCGTGCGCCTGTGAAGTAGGTGAGAAGGGAAAATAAAGATGGGGGGAGCCCCTCATATTGTTAGCATCTATTATGTGCCAGGTCAAGATGCCATCTTCTGAAAGATGACTTGAGATGATGACCAAACTCCACATGGAAAGTGCTATTCCCCCTCCCACCATCATGCAGATGAACTGAGACAAGCAAGGTTTAATCACTTGCTGAAAACCACATAACTGCAGAGTGAAAAAACCAGGACTTACCAGGCGGTGGTAATGCACGCCCTTTAATCCCAAGCACTCAGAAGGCTGAGGCAGGTGGATGGATCTCTAAGTTCAAGGCCAGCCTGGTCTACAGAGTGAGTTCCAGGATAGCTAGGGTTACACAGAGAAACCCTGTCTTGAAAAAAAAACATAAGGAAGGAAGGAAGGAAGGAAGGAAGGAAGGAAGGAAGGAACCAGAACTCGAGCCAGGTTGTATTAGTTAGGGTTTCTATTGCTGCAATGAAACACCATGACCAAAAGGCAAACTGGGGAGGAGAGGGTTAATTTGACTTACACTTCAGCATTGTTGTTCATCTCAGAAGGAAGTCAGGACAGGAACTCAAACAGGGCAGGATCCTGGAGGCAGGAGTTGATGAAGAGGCTGTGGAGGAGTGCTACTTACTGGCTTGCTTTACACGGCTCACTCAGCCCAGCTTCTTACAGAATCCAGCTGGGCCCTCCCCCATTGATCACTAAATGAGAAGAAAACACCTTACAGATGGATCCCAAGGAGGTCATTCCCTCAACTGAGGCTCCTTTCTCTGATGACTCCAGCTTGTGTCAAGTTGACACACAAAACCACCTAGTACGCAAGTCTTCAGTTTCTTTATACTTCCAGTGTCTTCATAGCAGTTTGACACACCATCTTATCTAGCTCAGGCTGTCTTGAACTCACTATGTAGTGGAGGATAACCTTGAACTCTTAATCCTCCTGCCTCCATACTCCAAATTCTAGGATTACTAGGCAGCACATACCCAGTATGACTTTTTAAAATTCCATTTTCAAAAAAAGTTATATTTCCCCTGCCAATCTTATAAGAAGGCCACTGGTGTTTAGAGGAGAGGGTCGTGTCACTCATTTCCTGTCCAGTTGGAGCTGGAACCTACAGTCCTGTGGCTCCCGGCACATCAGTCAGGGCTGGCTGAGAGTAACAGGTTGTTGTGGGTCTGGATAGCAGTATTCCAGGAAGCAGAGTCGTGCCCCTGCAGGTGGCCCTTGGGAGAAGTCACTCAGTCCGTGCCATGAGGCCAGATTGAAGGAGAGAGGACAGCCCAGAACCACTCACTGTGAAGCCTCCGCAGTGGTTCAGTTTTGAAAATGGCCCTGAGAGAGATGCTATCAGGAGACGTAGTTAATGGGTTTGGAAATTGCCTAATTTTGTCGCAACTGTCTGAGTGTTGTCCGATGCATGCTAAGTATCTAGCTAGGGCTTGAGTGGTCTTGTGAGAAGGTCTAGGATGCCCAGGACCTTTCAGACATTAGGAGGGTGGGGCATGGTGTTAAAGAGACTCTAGGTGACATGGGGCAGGTAGGCCAGGTGCTGGGTCAGTCCCCTGTCCTGTTTCTCAAAGAGCCACCCGTATCTTCCTAGCTGCTTCCTTAGAATACATCCTTCCTCAACTGTGTGGAGCCCTTGGCCCCCAGCCCTTTCTCCAGCTCTCAGCAGAGGTTCCTGCGCCAACTTCCCATGCCTCGGGTCAATAAACCACCCACATCCTGCCCTGAGAAGCCCCTAAGGCTCCTGGCATGCCTGAATCCCGGAGAGCGGCTCTCCCACCCTCCGTGGGCTGCCTGTAAGTGCTCTCCATTCCCCCAAACCGCCTCTCCTCCTCTGGAGACACGGCCATCCATCAGCTCCCTGCCTCACTGCTCACGTTCGCTTTCCCTGGCTGTCGCCAGCTTGCTTGTTTATTTTCTCCCTGCTTCCTACTCCCTTTCTCCACTTGCTTCGAGACTCCAGTTCTTGCAGGCTGTTTACCAGAGCTGTCCTGCAGGAGAAGGCAGGACAGATTGCCCCCAAAGCAGAATGCCCCACCTCCAGCCACCCAGTCACAAGGAAGACTCTTCATTCTCTCTAAAATTTCCCACCCTGGAGGCTAGGGGTGTAATTTCTCTCAGGGGCAGCAGAGGTCATTTCAAGGGTCCATGGTGTTGTGACTGATTCTGTGGGAACCTTGAAAAGGCCCATTAATCTCTCCATGCCACACTTTTCTCACTTATAAAATGGAGCTGGGGACGCTGGAGAGATGGCTCAGCGGCTAGGAGCACTGACTGCTCTTCCAGAGGACCCAGTGCCCACATGGCAGCTCACAACTGTCTGTAACTCCAAGATCTGATGCCCGTACACAAATAGATATACATGCAGGCAAAACACCAACGTCCATAAAATAAGAATAAATCATTTTTTTAAAAAGGAGCTGGGACCCAGCACTCGGGAGGCAGAGGCAGGCGGATCTCTGTGAATTGGAGACCAGCCTGGTCTACAAGAGCTAGTTCCAGGAAAGGCTCCAAAGCCACAGAGAAACTCTGTCTCGAAAAAACCAAACCAAACCAAAACCGGTCTGGGAAGACTGAGGGAGGAAGCTCTGCCACCACTTACTGAGGACTGGCTGTGTGGCAGCGTCCGTGCCTAGCCCTTTCAGATACAAGTCCATTTAAGCATGCTAATGTGCATTGTGTCGGGCAAATGCTAGCTGTACAGACAAGCCCAGACAGCCAAGACTGCATCTCCTTGGCTCTCCTCCGAGCTCAGAAAATAATTCAACAGGCACTTTTGAACTGTTTTGTCAACAAACATTTCCCACATATGTTTTTGTTTGCGTTTTTGAGACAGGGTCCTCTTGCTGTGAAGCCCCAGCTGGCCTCAGCTTCTCAAGTGCTGAGATTACAGTGTGTGCCATGCCTGGATGCGGTTTATTTTTTTTAAAGATTTTACTTTAGTTTGTGTGTACATGTGTATGTCTGTGTGTATATAGATCAGAGGGCGTCAGATCCCCCGGAGCTGCAGTTATGGTGCGTTTTATCCAACTGTTACACTGCTGGAAACCAAGCTCAGGTCCTCCGTAAGAGCAGTAAACACTCCTGCTGCTGAGCCGCCTTTCCAGCCCACTGACTGCTCTGTTATTGGCAATAGGATCCAGTATGTAACTCAGATTAGCCTTGAGCTTGCTATACGGCTCACACGGACCTCCAAATAACATCTCCAGAGTGCTAGGATTACCATATCACCCACCAAGCCCAACTTCATCTCATTGATCTACGAGGTTTTCTAGGAAGCAAGCCAGGCTCTGGGGAGCTCTGCCTACTTTTCTCACCCTCCAATCTTCCACCTTGGACTGGACAGTGTGCCTGCCCTTTCTGAGGGTCTGCAGGGCATGGGCAACATGTGTGATTGCCTTTGGGTGGCGCGTGCGCGCGTGTGTGTGTGTGTGTGTGTGTGTGTGTGTGTGTGTGTGGTCAGTGTCTTGAGGATGGGATGAGATGTCAGGTGGAGAAGTTACCTGCAGCCTCAGGGTGTTTCTCCGGTGGTCCTCAGGATTGTAGTGGAATCAGTCCTTCTTAGAGAAAAGGGGCAGGGTGGGGGGTGGGAGGTGGGGGGATAGAGACAGCTCCCAGGCTCACTGCTCTCAGACACTAGCCAAATCAAAATCATCCTGTGTGAGCCAGGTGTGGTGGTGCTAGCTTGTGATCCCGGTACTGGGGAGTCAGATAATCCAGAGTAGCTGGGATCACAGGTGTGTGTATGTCCCCACAGCCAGCTACATTGAGCTAGGTACGAGGCTCTGAACTAAAAGGTCTAATAAGAACAGGTTCATTACTTTTCACTGAGCTCAGACCAAATACATTTCCCGTCAAGTCACTTTTCATACTTCAGGACGAAGTGCCACACTGTAGTCCAGGAGCCTGAGAGTCTCCTCCAGGCCCTTCCAGGAGTAATGGGCTGGTTAGGCCTCAGGTAACTCTTCACATTGTCTCCTCTTGGAAAAGAGTATTCTCGGTGTTGTACAAAGAAATAAATAAAGTAAAAGGAACCTGGCATGGCAGTTTCTTTTTGTAAAAAGACTGTGTCATGACCCAAACTGGGCTAGCAAGCACACCTGGGAAGGAGGTTCACTTAGTTTCTAATCTTGAGCAGGTGGTGACTGTATCTCCCACTGGCTGGAACTTTGTCTCACAATCTGATGTCACTGGCTAGCTCGTAACTGGCACCATAAAGGGAGGGAGGGAGGGAGAGGTCATCAAGTCCCGTGGCATACAGCAGAATTTTCTGTACACAAATGTTAAGCCAGACGGGGGGAGATTAAAAGATTTGCATAAAAGTTTTACAAGCTTGGGGCAGCTTCAGAGAACATCATTCCTTGACTGGCTGGTTACCCTTGTCAGGAAAAAAAAAATCACAGAGTTTGCCATGCTCTTCTTACCCCTACCCCTGTTCTGCCAACCCCATGGCATTTGCCTCTTCTCTGCTGTCATGAGCTAAGGTCAGCCATTGGGGCCACTCTTTGGCTTTGTATTCCTCAACTAAAGAAGGGGAAGCTGCTTATGGAGGCACACACTTGTAATCATAGCTCTTGGGAGGCTGAGGCAGGAGGATTGCAGAAAGTTCAAAGTACATAGTGAGTTCCAGGCTGGCCGGGATTACAGTATGAGACCATGTCTCAAAAAAGCCAACTAAATAACACAGAGGAGAAGTGGAGAGACACTAAGAGGAAGGAAGGCTGAATCGGTGAGCTAATTGAGGAAGCCGGGTTTATCAGCCTCAGATGGAGAAGCTGAGGGTTCTTGGATTACACATTTCAAGTCTAGGAAACCCCTTGTTTGAAAAACTGTGACCAAAAGCCTGATTCCTCCAAAGACCAAGAAGACTTAGTAACGACAGATCCAGGTTAAACAGAGAAGTGTTAAATGCCAGGAATTAGCTATACCAATGTGACCTCTGATGAGCAGATTTTAAAAGTGGGCCAGGTTAGTGCACATAGGCAAAGATCCTGAGTGGAAGTGTAATCTAATTGGGCCATTGCTGGTTAGAACAAGTCCAGGGTGAGCGGGGCTGGAAGCCTACACTCTTGTACACACCCACAGTGGAGTCTGACTCTGACGACCTTGGCATGCGTTCATTCTGGGGTGGCAGTCTGCCTATCGCTCCCTGATCGCTCTGGATCCAAAAGAAACCAGAGTAGGGTGGTTAGGAGGGCAACAAGGAAGGGCTGGGGTTGGGTGGATACTGAAAAGAGAATCGGGGAGAATAATCTCGGTAAAGGACCTGTCACTGCACCCCCTCCTTTGGGAAGCCCCTCTGATATCCCAGGCATGCTTAGGGCTCCCTCTGTGTTTCCATGACACCCTATGCTAGCTTACTCCCTAAGTGAGTTCAAGATGATCCAAAGCTTTCCCATCTGTCTTCACTGCGAGTCGTCTGATGCTAAGAAATGTTTTACTGCACATCTTTAGTCTTAGCTACTCATCAGGGGGCTGAGGCAGAAGGATTGCTTGAGCCCTGGACTTTGAGGTCAGCCTGGGCAACAGTTTCCTCCCCTCCTCTCCTCTCCCCCAGCTCTCCTTCCCTCCCCTTCCCTTTCCTCCTCTGGCCTCCCTTCTCCTCCTCCTCTTCCCTCTCCTCCTCCTCTCCATCCCGTGCCCCCACCCCCACGAGAGTATGTGTGGGTCTGAATGCTGGAGATTGAACCCAAGGCATTCTGCCACTGAGTTACATGACCAGTCTTTGTTTCTCTGAGACATAGTCTCTCTGTGTTGTCCAAGATGCCCTGGGATTTGCTTAACCCTCCCACCTCTACTTCCTGAGTGCTGGTCTTACTGGCACACACCACCATGCCCAGTTGAAACCCTGTCTCTTAAAACAAAACCAAACTATGCTCTGCTAATGGCCACCTTTGGGCCCTGGCATAGGGTGTGTATCACCGGAAGTGCTGCACAGATGGTCTGTGCCAGCTCACCCAGGGAACAAATGCACTGCTTTGGGGGACTTTGTGCTCACACCTCCCAGAAGTGACTTCAGAGTAGCCTAACAAAGCCTTGGTCTTTTGGACCCCCTTTTCAACAAGACAGCTGGAGCGATAACACAAGGAAACCTCAGCCTGGCTCTACTCAGCCACAGATTAGCAGTGAGATTGGCCTGGATAGTGTCTGACAACCCTCTCCCCATGCCTCAGTCTCCTCATCTACCAAATGGGGCCGATGGTCCTACAGATGCACAGGGTTATCTTGGAAAATCAATCTAGCTCTTGTGTGTGCAGGCGGTGAAAGCATCTCGAGAAAGGTCTCTATGACTTATACAGAGGTAAGACGTTATTAATAGCCTCATTATTATTCTTACCCAGAATGCCCAGGGAAAAGCAGCATGTGGCAGCCCCGGCCCCCGCACCCCACCCTTCCATACTATTTCTGTACCTGGAAAGCAGGTTCTTGGAGTGTTCTTCCATGTTGAGCAGTGTGGGGGCAAGAGAGTGAGTTCTGGGTAGACGGACTTCCTCCGGCTCTCCAGCCTGCTGCTCTTTGAGGGCTCTCACCAAACCCTTTGATTAGAAAGCATATCTGGCAGGGGGGACTTCAGCTATCTGCAGGGCTGTGGGTGGCATCCTATCACTCACACGCCATTTGGTGCTGGGGTGATACTGAGGTGGCCCCTCCCCCAGGAAGGCCTGGACAACTCTCTGTTACTCACATAAACCATAAACCCTGGAGCAACGTGACTCGACCTCCCTGGGAACGCATGACCTTCCTCCTGTAGATCAGCTGGATTCAGAGTCCAACCAGACCCAGGCAGACAAGGAAGCTGCTTTTGGTCCTCTGCGTTCCTGAGGAAAAACGAGCAGCTCCAGGTAGCTCATCTCTCTCGCTCCTCCCGCTGTGCCAAAACCCGGAAGCTCCATCATCCCCTGAAGCCCCACACACCTGGAGATGGAGAGCCAAAGCTCATTTTCCCAGCTCACACCACTCACAGCGTGGCAGCTCACCTCGATGTGCTGGTACTGGCTAGCCCATCCCAGGAGCGGTGAAGAGAAACAGGTAGCCCAGAGATGGGCAGGGAATCGGGATGGGTATGGTCTGATGGTGACCCCACGCAGCCTCAAGGACTACAGGCAACATCCGGGTTCTGTTAACCACCCTCCCCGACCCCACAGGTCTGAGCCTTGCAGGCTCCCAGCAGACGGCCTGACTCCTCCGGCTCTGGGTCTCATCTTCTAGCCTTCCCTGGCGCTGTGGGAGCCTGTGAACACTGGCCTGAGGGCACCGCAAAGCTGACGATGTGGGCTTTTCCTTGTCTGTGGGAATAACAAAACTCGGGTCAGGGAAACGGTGGGTACAGAGGGTAGAAAGCCAGAAGGAAAATCTCTGAGGTCAGGGAAGACTAGAATGTGGAATGAGGTGTCCTCCCCGGCAATACCAGCCCCGCTCAGGTCTCTGTCCACAGAAGGAACCGCTGTTGCCTCTGCTGGGAATGGCTGGTTGCAGAGGGGACACCGTGACTGCTCCGAGGAGGTCTTCTCATTCCCCGGCCCATGCTCTGCAGCTTTGGCTTAGCTCCCCCATCCCCACTTGGCCAGATAGGTCTGCTGCTGCTGCTGCCTTAAAACGCTGCCCTCAATTCTATCTTTAGCTCTTCTGGCGGCTGGGAGCCTGAGTGACGGGAAGGGTGGGGGCTTGTGCTGGGGTGGGGAAATTCTGCAGTTTCCACGTTTGTTGAGAAGGTGGTACCGACTGTGAGCATCAAGGCCTATGTAATAGTCATCGCTGCATCTGTGGTCCACACAGTGGCAGGCCCAGGGCCGCAGGGATGCGGGCTGGATGGGTGGAAGCCCTGAGGAATGGATGAAGGCGAGGCCAACTGGTCCATAGACCAAGATATGAACCCTGAGGAACGCTGCGTGATCTTGGGCAAGAGATGTCCTTCTCAGTCTCAGTTTCTCCATTTGTAAAAGGACACCGGCGAAGTGTCTGTTTTTCGTCTGCCTCCACCAACCGCCTCACCTAGTGTCCTTGTACACCACCGCCGCAAACAGGCAATGCTGCGTGGTTTGCAGTGGAAGAAAGGAAAGTATTGGCTCTGCAGGGCTCTCTTACCACTTCCTTCATTGCTGAGCTGTAACCAACCCTGGATTTTTAATTTCACTTATTTTCGAGACAGGATCTCTAGCCCAGACTGGTTTCAAATTTACATCATAGCTATCATTGGCCTTGGAATTTGAGATCTTCAGCGTCAGCCACCACACCCAACTCCCATCCTGAATGTTGAACTTGTCACAGAGAATGCCAGTAGACAAGTGTCCTGTGCTGACAGAGGGGGACAATTGCTAGACTAAACATCTGTAAAGGATTCCTTTGGGTCTCTCTGGGGGAAATTGCAGAATCACTGTAAGTTTTGATGAGACAGGAGTAGCGGAGATCTCTGGATGACCTTTCTCTCCTCCTGGAAGTCTTCTCAAAGCAGACTTTGATCCATGCAGCCAGAAGAACATTTCCAACTATCAGCTCTGGGCACAGAGACAGATCATAGAATCCTACACTTTTCTCATGAATGCATTTCCTTTGGAAGCTCCAGTGTCTCCCACTCTGTGCCCTGCAGTCTAAGGGTCTTGGTCCTTGGTGGCTCACAACCTCCTGTAACTCCAGCTCCAACCCTCTTCTGGGTTCTGTGGGCACCTGCATTCATGCGAACACATAACCTCCCCAGCTGCCCATATACACATAATTAAAAATAAATCTTAAAACAGACAAGCAAACACATCTGCTGAACATCAACCAAAGAGCCCAGGACCCTTCCTTCCTGAGCGAGGGACAGCGCAGTCCATAAAGCTGTTACCCTTTGGTCTCTAGGGGAATGCGATTCCCCGGGTGTATTCAGACTAGGCAGATGAAATTGCCTCTCACAGCAGGTGTCAAGAACAGCCATCAGCCACCTTCACAAGCACTGATATGAAGATCCGTCCTCGTCCTCTGAACAATAGCACACAGCAAGCTCCCATCCAGCCAATTGCTTTCTTCCAATAAGAGAACATCTCCCAAGGAGGGATGAGAAAGGGCTGAGGAAGGGGCTGACTGTGGATGACTGAACCTCCAGCCAGACCTATGGAGGCACCTGAGCTGATGTGGAGCCACGAGGAGACCTGAGGTCCAGGAGAAAATGCCAGAAGGAATGCAGGGCCGGAGGGCATAGCAGAGCCTCGGAGGTCCCAAGCGGGGACCTAATGGAGAATGGGGTGCTGCTGGTGAATGCCCAAGGAACAAGGTCACTGGTGAGTCAGGAGGGCTGTGTAAGGAAGCCTGGCCCACCAGACTCCTCCTCTTCCCTCATTCTATCTGGGGAGAGGGCGACCACTCTATCCACTCTATGTCCGCTTTTCCGTTCTCCCGTCTCCCGTGCTCACTGTGCTAGGATGCTCTGATCTGAATAGAGGCAGGTGGAAGGCATCTCTTTTTCTTTTTTTAGAGAACATTTAATTACATTGGCATAATGGTTTGGTTTTTGTTTTTATTTTAGCATATAAGGCATTTCATTATTTATTTACTGAACGTCATTTTTAGTCAGGGTCTCATGGAGTACAGGCTGGTCAGGAACTCAGTATGTAGCTGAGGGTGAACGGGTGACCCCGATCGCCCGCTTTTCAAGGGATAGGGCTATAGGGGTGCGCCACCACACCTGACACTTTTTATTTGTAGGCAGATTTTCATGTAGCCAACACTGGCCTTCCTGCCTCCCGCATGCTGGGGTTATAGGCAGGTGCTTCCACATCTAGGAAAGCATTTCTTCCCCAACGCTGCGTCATCTTCCTGAGACAGGAGAGCTGATGTACGCCTGTAAATCCCAGCACCTGGAGTCTCCAGGGGGAAGATGGGGTGTCCCAGGACAGCCTGGGCTATAGCAAGATCCTGTCAGGAATACTCAATGGGCAGGGAGCTCTGTCAGGCAGCCACCGCTTCTTCTAGGCTCCTCTTGCTCCAGCTTTTATCAGCTGTGTCCTGTCAGGCCCTGGGCCACACCTCTCCTTCTCCTGTGGTCTTCCCTTCTTCCTCCCGGAGAGGACAAGGACATTGTCATCTTATTATCTCCCCTTTCTGTTTTGCAGTTCCTGTTTGTCCCCTGCGTTCTAAGCCATGGGGGATGATTCTCCACTGTGTGGAAACTGTTGTATGTTTAGGTGTGCATCCCACATTAAGCCTGACTTACTCATCGGGCACTTGCCTGGGCTCACGCTGCTCAAGTACAGCCTCCTCTGTAAACATTTCTTGTTTGCAATCCATCCCCGGGCCCAACACCTGCAGTGCCCCCACTTTCTCTCTGCTAAATCAAGTAAATGCCCTTTGAACAATGTGTTAACTCTGTCCCCTCCTCCGGGAAACCTTCCCCAAATAACCTGTCAGCCGGCTTCTCCCTTGCAGACTATAACAGGATTGGCCTCTCTGGGGCATGTACATGTGTGAGTTATATGTCTGTGAGTTTAAATAATAATAATAATAATAATAAAGTGTGTGTGTGCATGTGTGTGCATGGGCACATACGTGCACACATGCTCCACAAAGCACACATGGAAGTCAGAGGCCAACATGTGGGAGTTAGTTCTCTCCTTCCTCCATGTGCAGCTGAGGTTGTCAGGTTTGGCAACAAGTGCCTTTACCTTCTGAGCCATCCTGGCAGCCAGACTATGGCTGTTAAGTACTTTAAAGGTGATTCCTTCCAGTGGGACCACGACACTGGTTAAAATGGTGAGTTTGGCACAGGCTACTGGCCAACCGGCAGCCTTATTGAGGAAGATAACCAGGTCAGGCTTAGTATACAGGAAGTCAGGACAGTGTCAGGTGTGGAGGCTGCTGTGACCTCGTGCTGGGCGACTGGAAGCATGGCCTTTCCATGGAAGCATGGCCGCTTCTGACCCTCGTCTACAGAACTCACCCTCACAAGCAGGGCTTGCAGACGAGCTACAGATGTGGTCACTGTCATCCACAGGGCGGCTTGGAGGGCCCAGGGTCTCTGCACTGCTGAGGGATGAGCCTGGGCTATTTCAGTGTACACATTTGGTTCAGCACATAGTCCTGGACTGTTTTGTGGTTTTACATTCAGAGATGCCAAGCTCAACACACATTTGCTGCTCAGTCTGGCCATTAGGTGCCGAGTAACCTTTAGGTGCCTCCTGGCCCAGCAATTTCTTTGTTTATTGTTCTGGTTGGAAAATGAAGATCCCTCCCTGCCAGCAACTAATTTACCAAAATAAACGAGATTTCTGCTTTTTTCCTGGCCAAGTCTGTCCCTGCATGCCAATCTTAGGGCTGCCAGATTGCAGTTTCAAGTGGGTGCAGCCAGAGGACTTGCAACTCGCAGGTGACTGCACGGGAAGGAAAAGAAGGAAAGCTTTTCCTGGGACTTCCTGTTTCACCTTCGACTTCTCTGCCAGCAAGTCTTCATGCCCTTGGCTGGATGCTTTCCTTTTGGTCACTGCAAGCAAGTCTTGTTTTCCCCCTGTTCTATTCCGTTTCTTTTCAGTCCTCTCCTGAAGTGGTGCAGCCTGGCTCTGCTTCCAAACCATCCCAGTGATTTATTATTGCTTTTACATTTTTGTTTATTTTTTAATGTGTGTGGGTGTTTTGTCTGCATGTAGGGCTGTATACACTGTGTTGCAGTACCCACAAAGGCCAGGAGAAGGCATCAGAGTCCCCAGGACTGGTGTCACACATGGCTGTGAGGTGCTGTGTGAGTGCTGGGATTAGAACTTGGCTTCTATAGAGTGCTCTTAACCACAGAGCCATTTCTCCTGTCCCCTCATTACTTTTTTTTTTTTTTTTGAGACAAGATCTCACTGGACTAGAACTCACTTTGTAGTCCAGACTGGCCAACTCATGGCATTCCTCCTGCCTAAGCATCTTGAGAGCTAATATTACAAGTATGAGTTACCATACCTGGCTTAACAAATGGACTAGTATATTGTCTTCCTCTTTCTGTCTCTCTCTCCCTTCTTTTTGTTTGTTTACTTTGTTAAAAACAACAACAAAACAGCCAGGTGGAGGTGTGGTGCACACCTTTAACCCCAGCGTTCGGGAGGCAGAGGCTGGCAGATCTCTGTGAGTTCAATGTCAGCCTGGTCTACAGAGTGAGTTCCAGGACAGCTAGAGTTACACGGTGCAACCTGTCCTGAAAAACTAAAATAAAGAGTTATTTTATGTGCATGGGTGTTTTGCCTGCATGTGTCTGTGCAACACATGAGAATCTGGTGCCCTTGGAGGCCTGAAGAAGGCATCAGATTGATGGAGGATGTCCTTCTGCATGCTGTGAATATGTGCTTCTCTTATTGGTTGATGAACAAAGCTGTTTCAGTCAATGGACAGACAGGATATAGCCAGGCAGGAAGTGTAGGTGGGGCTAACAGACTAGGAGAAGACTGGGAAGAGGAAGGCAGAGAGGAGTTGAGGGAGGGAAATGCCATGTGGCTACTGGAAAGATCAGGAGGCCTGGGAACTTTCTGGTAAGCCAAGACCACATGGAGATACATAGATTAATAGAAAATAATTAAGAAAGAGCTAGCCAATAAGAAGCCTGAGCCATTGGCCAAGCAGTTGATAATTAATAGAAGCCTCTGTGTATTTATTTGGGACTAAAGGGCTGCAGGACCTG